AAGGAGGGGGTGGGGAGGGAGGGGGTGACGCCGGATTTTGGGGTAAATAATACAGGATTTGGGGGTCGGGTCTGGGATACCCAAATGGTAAATGTTGGGGTTCGGTGATGCCGGATTCTGGGCTCAATAACAGCGGATTTGGGGCTCGGTGACACCAGATTCTGGGCTCCCCAAATGCCAGATTTTGGGGTTTGGTGACACCGGATTCTGGGCTAAATAACAGGAGATTTGGGGCTCGGGCTGGGCTCGGTGACACCGGATTCTGGGCTCCCCAAATGCCAGATTTTGGGGTTTGGTGACACCGGATTCTGGGCTAAATAACAGGAGATTTGGGGCTCGGGCTGGGCTCGGTGACACCGGATTCTGGGCTCCCCAAATGCCAGATTTTGGGGTTTGGTGACACCGGATTCTGGGCTAAATAACAGGAGATTTGGGGCTCGGGCTGGGCTCGGTGACACCGGATTCTGGGCTCCCCAAATGCCAGATTTTGGGGTTCAGTGATGCCAGATTCTGGGCTAAATAACACCGGATTTGGGGTTCAGTGACACCAAACTTGGGGCTCAGTCTGGGCTCCCCAAATGCTAAATTTTGGGGTTCGGTGACACCGGATTCTGGGCTAAATAACAGGAGATTTGGGGCTCGGGCTGGGCTCGGTGACACCGGATTCTGGGCTAAATAACACCAGATTTGGGGCTCGGTCTGGGCTCGGAGACACCAGATTCTGGGCTAAATAACACCAGATTTGGGGCTCGGTCTGGGCTCGGAGACACCAGATTCTGGGCTAAATAACACCAGATTTGGGGCTCAGTCCTGGCTCCCCAAATACCAGATTTTGGGGTTTGGTGACACCGGATTCTGGGCTCAATAACACAGGATTTAGGGCTTGGTCCTGGCTCCCCAAATGCCAAATTTTGGGGTTCAGTGACACCAGTTTCTGGGCTCCCCAAATGCCAGATTTTGGGGTTCAGTGACACCGGATTCTGGGCTCAATAACACCAGATTTGGAGCTTGGTCTGGGCTCCCCAAATGCTACATTTTGGGGTTCAGTGATGCCATATTCTGGGCTCAATAACACCGGATTTGGGGTTCAGTCCTGGTTTGGTAACACCAGATTCAGGGTTCAGTCTTGGTCCCGTAACAGCAGATTTGGGGCTCGGTGACACCAGATTCTGGGTTCAGTTACACCAAATTTGGGGCTCAATCTGGGTTCAGTGACACCAAATTTGGGGCTCAATCTGGGTTTAGTGACACCAAATTTGGGGCTCAGTTTGGGTTCATCGACACCAGATTTGGGTCTCAATGACACCAAATTTGAGGCTCAATCTGGGTTTGGTGACACCAGATTTGGGTCTTGATGACACCAAATTTGGGGCTCAATCTGGATTTGGTGACACCAAATTTGGGGCTCAATCTGGGTTCAATGACACCAAATTTGGGGCTTGGTGACACCAAATTTGGGGCTTAATCTGGGCTCAGTGACACCAAATTCGGGTCTTGGTGACACCAAATTTGGGGCTCAATCTGGGTTCAGTGACACCAAATTTGGGGCTCAATCTGGGTTCAATGATACCAAATTTGGGTCTTGATGACACCAAATTTGGGGCTCAATCTGGGTTCAGTGACACCAAATTTGGGGCTTAATCTGGGCTCAGTGACACCAAATTCGAATCTTGGTGACACCAAATTTGGGGCTCAATCTGGGTTTAGTGACACCAAATTTGGGGCTCGGTGACACCAGATTCTGGGCCCAGTGACGCCAAATTTTGGGCTCAGTGACACCAAATTTGGGGCTCAATTTGGGTTCAGTGACACCAGATTTGGGGCTCAATCTGGGTTCAATGATACCAAATTTGGGTCTCGATGACACCAAATTTGGGGGTTGGTGATGCCAAATTTGGGGCTCAGTGACACCAGATTCTGGGTTCAGTGACACCAAATTTGGGGCTCAATTTGGGTTCAATGACGCCAGATTTGGGGCTCAATCTGGGCTCAGTAACTCTGGATTTGGGGCTCAGTGACATGAAATTTGGGGCTCAATCTGGGTTTGGTGACACCAAATTTGGGGCTCAATCTGGGTTCAATGACGCCAGATTTGGGGCTCAATCTGGGCTTAGTGACACCAAATTCGGGTCTCAATCTGGGTTCAGTGACACCAGATTTGGGGCTCAATCTGGATTTGGTGACACCAAATTTAGGACTTAATCTGGGCTCAATGACTCCAGATTTGGGTCTCGATGACACCAAATTTTGGGCTCAATCTGGGTTCGGTGACACCAAATTTGGGGCTCAGTGACACTGGATTCAGGGCTCAGTTTGGGTTCGATAACACCAAATTCGGGGCTCGTTGCCCCCGACTCCCAATTACCACCCCCTTCCCCTTTCCCCCCCC